TAAAAATTATAAATATAAGTAAATATAAGTAAATGTGGTATTTTGTAGTCGTATATGGTAACAAATCTCTCTACCAAAAATTATTAAGATTCGCCCCCTTTTTGGGATAGTCCCCATATAACCCGAATTTGGTACATTGGGTTCTTATTGGCCACAAAAAATTATAAATATAGGTCCACTTTTTCTGGTAGCCCCCATATAACGGTACTTAATAATTTTCAGTATTTTGGGGGTTTTGGTCGTATTTTTCCACCAAATTGGCTGTAATTTAGTACTTTGAGTTCTTAATAGGTTCCACATCACTCCACAAAAAATTATGAATATAGGTCCATTTTTTCTGGTAGCCCCCCATATAAAGGGTACCCCCAATTTTCGGTATTTTGGGGTTCTTTTTCAACCGAATTCGCTGAAATTTGGTATATTGGGTTCTTATTGAGTACCAAATATCTCCACTAAAAATTATAAATATAAGTCCATTTTTTCTGGTACCCTAATATAAGGGTACCCCCAAATTTCGGTATTTTGGGGTTCTTGAGCGCGTGTTTCAACCGAATTCGCTGAAATTTGGTATATTGGGTACCAAATATATCCACCAAAAATTATAAATATAAGTCAATTTTTTTCTGTTAGCTCCCATATAAAGGTACCCCCAAATTTCGGCATTTGGAGGTTCTTGAGCGCGTTTTTCAACCGAAATAACTGAAATGTGGTATTTTGTAGTCGTATATGGTAACATATCTCTCTACCAAAAATTATTAAGATTCGCCCCCTTTTTGGGATAGTCCCCATATAACCCCCTTTTTTATATTAAAATAGTTATCTGATTTGTTCCGCGTTTTGAATTTGGTTCTAAGACTCTACTGTAATCATTTCAACTGCGGAGGATAGCGAGATAAAAAATTAGAACGTAAGGTTCGATAATGAACAATATTCGCATTTAGACCTAACCTCTGTGTGGAGGTTTCAGAAGGGTGGTCCGATATTCGTCATCTTCGTATTTGAATTATCAATTACAAATTTCAGAAATTTGTATTATGGTTTACATAATCCGTTTTTAGACATGTCGGTATAGGTCCACTTTTTGGTATGTTCCCTATATTTTCATTTCTAGTACCTGTCAGTATATCTATGGTGGAGGGTATCCAAAGTTCGGCCCGGCCGAAATTAACGCTTTTTCACTTGTTTATATTAAAATAGTTAGCTGATTTGTTCCGCGTTTTGAGTTTGGTTCTAAGACTCTATTGTAATCATTTCACCTGCGAAGGATATCGAGATAAAAAACTAGAACGTACGGTTCGATAATGAACTATATATGAACTATAACCCGTATTTAGACCTAGCCCCTGTGTGGGAGGTACCAGAAGGAGTGGACCGATGTTCCCCATCTTCGAACTTGAACTAAGTTTGGAAGATGGCCAAAGTTTGGATGAAATCGAAATTTGCTGAAACAAATTTGATCCAAAAAAACATGGATCTAGAACCATTTTAACCGTGTCAAAGTGTATATGCCCTCATTATCCATAAAGCTGAGGGAATAATTGTCCGTTTAAATTTCAGAAATTTGTTTTATAGTTTACTTTTTGGTATTTTCCCTATATTTTTATCTCAAGTACCTGTCAGTATATCTATGGTGGAGGGTATCCAAAGTTCGGCCAGGCCTAACTTAACGCCTGTTGTAACTCACCGAAATATTCATTTGCGACCCTAGTCTGTTGTAAACGCTATCTTCCGAAGGAATTTAGATAGGGTGCTGAAATTTTGCACAGGGTTGTCTTTTGTCTGCAGGCAGATCAAGTTCGAAGATGGGATATATCGGTCCACGTTTAGGCATAGCTCCCATATAAGGGTTCCAAATTTTCGGAATTTTAGGGTTCTCGAGCGCGTTTTGCAACCGAATTTGGTACATTGGGTTCTTATTGGCCACAAAAAATTATAAATATAGGTCCACTTTTTCTGGTAGCCCCCATATAACGGTACTTCCTAATTTTCAGTATTTTGGGGGTTTTGGTCGTATTTTTCCACCAAATTGGCAGTAATTTAGTACTTTGAGTTCTTAATAGGTTCCACATCACTCCACAAAAAATTATGAATATAGGTCCATTTTTTCTGGTAGCCCCCCATATAAGGGTACCCCCAATTTTCGGTATTTTGGGGTTCTTTTTGAACCGAATTCGCTGAAATTTGGTATATTGGGTTCTTATTGGGTACCAAATATCTCCACTAAAAATTATAAATAAAAGTACATTTTTTCTGGTAGCCCTCATATAAGGGTACCCCCAAATTTCGGTATTTTGGGGTTCTTGAGCGCGTTTTTCAACCGATTATAAATCCATTTTTCCTGTTAGCCCCCATATAAGGGTACCCCCAAATTTCGGTATTTTGGGGTTCTTGAGCGCGTTTTTCAACCGAATTCGCTGAAATTTGGTATATTGGGTACCAAATATCTCCACTAAAAATTATAAATATAAGTCAATTTTTTTCTGTTAGCCCCCATATAAAGGTACCCCCAAATTTCGGCATTTGGAGGTTCTTGAGCGCGTTTTTCAACCGAAATCACTGAAATTTGGTATTTTGTAGCCGTATATGGAAACAAATCTCCCTACCAAAAATTATTAATAGTCAACCCCTTTTAGGCGTAGTCCCCATATAACCCCATTTTTATACCCTCCACCATAGTATGGAGGGTATATTAATTTTGTCATTCCGTTTGTAACTCATCGAAATATTCATTTTCGACCCTATAAAGTATATACATTCTTGATCAGGGTAAAATTCTAAGACGATCTAGCCATGTCCGTCCGTCTGTTGTAATCACGCTATCTTCTGAAGGAATTGAGATAGGGTGCTGACATTTTGCATAGGGTTGTCTTTTGTCTGCAGGCAGGTCAAGTTCGAAGATTGGATATATCGGTCCACGTTTAGGCATAGCTCCCATATAAGGGTACCCTCCAAATTTCGGTATTTTGGGATTCTTGAGCGCGTTTTTCAGCCGAATTCGCTGAAATTTAGTACACTGAGTTCTTATTGGGTACTTAATGTCTCGACAAAAAATTATAAGTAAAGGTCCACTTTTTCTGGTAGCACCCATATATAGGTACCTCATAATTTTCAGTATTTTGGGGGTTTTTGGCTGTATTTTCCCACCGACTTTGCTGTAATTTAGTATTTTGAGTCCTTAATAGGTACCAAATCTGTCTACAAAACATTATGTATATAGGTCCATTTTTTCGGGTAGCCCCCATATAAGGGTACCCCCCAATTTTCGGTATTTTGGGGTTCTTGAGCGCGTTTTTCAGCCCAATACGCTGAAATTTGGTAGATTGGGTTCTTATTGGGTACCAAATCTCTCCACATAAAATTATAAATATAGTTTTATTTTTTCGGATATCCCCCACATAAGGGTACCCCCCAATTTTCGGTATTGTGGGGTTTCTGAGCGCATTTTTCAGCCGAATTTGGTACATGGTGTTCTTATTGGGTACCAAATCTCTCCACATAAAATTATAAATATAGGTTAATTGTTTCGGATATACCCCACATAGGGGTACCCCCCAATTTTCGGTGTTTTGGGGTTCTTGATCGGGTTGTTCAACCGAATTTGCTGAAATTTGGTATATTGGGTTCTTATTGGGTACCAAATATCTCCACTACAAATTATAAATATAAGTCAATTTTTTTCTGTTAGCCCCCATATAAAGGTACCCCCAAATTTCGGCATTTGGAGGTTCTTGAGCGGGGTTTTCAACCGAAATCACTGAAATTTGGTATTTTGTAGCCGTATATAGAAACAAATCTCCCTACCAAAAATTTTTAATAGTCAACCCCTTTTAGGCGTAGTCCCCATATAACCCCATTTTTATACCCTCCACCATAGTGTGGAGGGTATATTAATTTTGTCATTCCGTTTGTAACTCACCGAAATATTCATTTGCGACCCTATAAAGTATATATATTCTTGACCAGGGTAAAATTCTAGGACGATCTAGCCATGTCCGTCCGTCCGTCTGTTGTAATCACGCTATCTTCTGAAGGAATTGAGATAGGGTGCTGAAATTGTGCATAGGGTTATCTTTTGTCTGCAGACAGGTCAAGTGGGATATATCGGTCCACGTTTAGACATAGCTCCCATATAAGGGTACCCCCAAATTTCGGTATTTTGGGGCTCTTGAGCGCGTTTTTCAGCCCAATTCGCTGAAATTTGGTAGATTGGGTTCTTATTGGGTACCAAATCTCTCCACATAAAATTATAAATATAGGTTAATTATTTCGGATATCCCCCACATGAGGGTACCCCCAATTTTCGGTATTTTGGGGTTTCTGAGCGCGTTTTTCAGCCGATTTCGCTGTGTTTGGTTCTAAGACTCTTTTGTAATCATTTAACCTGTGGAAGATAGAGAGATAAAAAATTCGATAATGAACTATAGCCGCATTTAGACCTAGCCACTGATTGGAGTTTTCAGAAGGAGTGGACCAATATTCCCCATCTTCGAATTTGAACTAAGCTTGGAAGAAATAACAAGTGAAAAAGCGTTAAGTTCGGCCGGGCCGAACTTTGGATACCCTCCACCATGGATATACTGACAGGTACTAGAAATGAAAATAAAGGGAGCATACCAAAAAGTGGACCTATACCGACATGTCTAAAAACGGATTATGTATACCATAATGTAAACCATAATACAAATTTCAGAAAATTTTAATTGATAATTCAAAATCGAAGATGGAGAATATCGGTCGACTTCTTCTGAAACCTCCACATAGGGGCTAGATCTAAATGCGGCTATAGTTCATTATCGAACCTTACGTTCTAATTGTTTATCTCTCTATCCTCCGCAGGTGAAATGATTACAAAAGAGTCTTAGAACCAAACTCAAAACGCGGAACAAATCAGATAACTACTTTAATATCAACAAGTTCTTTTACTTGACTTGGAAACCAGAGACCCCCACAACATATACAAATTTCCGTCGGTCCATTTCTAATAACTTTAAAAAACTCACCGAATAATCGTGATTCGTGTCTTGCACAATCCATTTGTAGCAATTCCATTCGAGATTCCGGGGAAATGTTTCGTCTCCTAATTGCGTTCCTCTCAGCTTGGCGTGCATTTTGGTTTTCACGGTTAATGGGATCCATTCGGTGAATACGTACGCGGCAGTTCCTAATCAGCCTCAGTTGGTTCAACTGAATACGACCAGAATTCCTGGTTTCACGGTGTTGTTGCGTATTTCGTCGTTGTTCGGATATGCGATATGATAAATCAGACCTCCTAGCTATATGTTCACGCGTGTTTCTCTCCTGTTCCATTGATCGATATGTTGGATCCTGACGACGAAGCGAATGCTGAAGCGTATCTCGCTGCTGTTCGACCAATCGATATTCCAATTCCTGTCTACGAAGCGAACGTTGAACCATATTTCGCTCCTGTTCGGCCATCCTGTAAGCTTCATCCTGTCGACGAAGCGAATGTTCAATCGTATTCCGCTCTTGTTCGGCCAATCGGTATGAATCATCCTGACGACGAAGCGAGTGATGATGTGTATCTCGCTCCTGTTCCGCCAAGCGGTACGTAACATCCTGACGACGAATAGCGTGTTGCTGCGTGTTTCGCTCTTGTTCGGCCAATCTGTATGCATCATCTTGACGACGAAGCGAGTGAAGACGCGTATCTCGCTCCTGTTCCGCCAAGCGGTACGTAACATCCTGACGACGAACCGTGTGCTGCTGCGTGTTTCGCTGTTGTTCGGCCAATCTGTATACATCATCTTGACGACGAATCGAGTGAAGACGCGTATCTCGCTCCTGTTCCGCCAAGCGGTACGTAACATCCTGACGACGAACCGTGTGCTGTTGCGTGTTTCGTTCTTGTTCGGCTATTCTGTACGCATCATCTTGACGACGAAGCGAGTGCTCAATCGTATTTCTCTCCTGTTCGGCTAATGCATCATCCTGTCGACGAGTAAAATGCTGTGCTGTATTACGTAGCTGCTCTATTCTTCGATTGTATGAAGATCTCCTCCTTGTTTGGTGCTGGATGCGATCCCGTTCACGCTCACAATGTCATAAAATTTAAAATTTTCGTAAAAACAAAACAACTGTTCTTATAAAGGAAACCCTTTTACCTGCTTCAATTATAGGTTCTAATTGGGTTGTTTACATATTATTTGTGATGTTATCTTTTAAAAATTATAAAACCGATATGTTCTACCTGTAAACATAAGACACGTGCATGGGTCGCGTTCTACATAATTGGATGTTTACGCGACAAAGATATCGCATTGCAGTACCACATATGTAGGTACCATTTTACCATAATATTACGTCTCCTTTCAAAAGAAAAGTGTATGACCTATCTTTATTTTCGAGGATTTACATAAATTACATTACATGGGAATTTGATAACGAATAAGAAAAAGGGGAGAATATTAATATTTTTTTGTGGGGAGGTTTGTTACCATATACGACTACAAATTCCAACGCATTCGGCAGAAAAACACGTTGAAGAACCCCAAAATACCGAAAAATGGCCGGACGGAAATGGCTAGATCGTCTTAAAATTTTACCCTGATCAAGAATATATATACTTTATAGGGTCGAAAATGAATATTTCGATGAGTTACAAACGGAATGACAAAATTAATATACCCTCTGTTATATATCCCGGTCTGCTAGTAAAACAACTGTTGCCTTCGGGTAACTCATAACAACTGAGTGATGGTGTTTATTACATATGCTTACATCGATAGTAGTTTAGTAGTTACTGAATACGTAACGTATACAACACCTCTCCCCTCCCTTATAACAAAAATAATAAAATGAATTCAATAAAATACTATTAACTAAAAACTCCGAACACTAATACATTTCAATCCGTATCGATAACATAATCATTTAGCCGATGAGGTCGCCGTATATTCCTCCTAGGATTCGTTCTTATGTTGACTGCCTCGCCATTCCCTGCTGGCTCTTCAAATCCGATGAATGTTGACCCCGGAGAACTTGGGGGCGTTGCGAAGGACTGATCTCGATTGTCTGAAATCACGCATTCGTCTGTGGCTTCTCGTTCCGCATTACTCATACTTGTAGGGTTCTCTCTCTTCTCCAAAGTTAAATCTGATGGCTCATAACTAGCACTATGTGTTTCCTCAACTTCGTTATCCAGCATTACTCTGCCATTAATCTTTCTCAATTGATCAATGTGTCTGTTCCAACACCTACCATCTTCCAGTCTCACTTTGTAATGCAAATCACCAATTCTCTCTCTTACTATTCCAGGCTTCCACTTAAGCTTATCCATATAATCCCGAGCCATCACAGCGTCTCCTACTGCTAACTCTCTTGTAGTTTTTTGTCTTTCGGGGTCTCGGACTTCATTGTTGGGCAGTAGGAGGTCCAATCTGCTTTGTATTTGTCGCCCAAACATTGTCATAGCTGGTGATTTATTCGTGACCGGGTGAATTGCTCGTCGATAAGCCAATAAAATTTGATCAATTTTTCGCTGTAACTCCTCCTTACGAGGCATTGCCTTCAACTTGGTCTTGAAGGTTTGTATAAAACGTTCAGCTTGACCATTCGTTGCAGGGTGGTACGGTGCCCCCAACTTATGCATGATACCATTTTGTTTTAAAAACTCTTGAAATTTCGCGCTTTTGAACTGCGTCCCGTGGTCGCTGACTAGAATGTCTGGTATTCCAAATTGCGCAAATATACTTCTACATACTTCGATTGTTGTCTCCGTGGTAATGTCTCGAACTATCCTTACCTCCGGCCATTTACTAAAAGCATCCACCAGTACAAAAAAATATTTGCCCAAAAAGGGACCAGCGTAATCCACATGCACCCTTTCGAAAACTTTCTTCGGAGGTAACCAGCATTGAACAGGTTCTTTCTTTACATCTGGTCGCCCGATCTGGCATTCATAACAGTCAGCAACCGCTTTTTCAATGTCCTTATCTAAATTTTTCCACCAACAATACGCTCTGGCAAGTGACTTCATTTTTGATACACCAAAATGTCCGAATGTAATTCTTGTATTATTCTAGTTCTCAGCGGTTTTGGCACATACACTCTTATGCCTCTTAATAAGCATCCTTGTTGCAAGCTAAATTCGGATGGGTCGATTCCAAAACTGTCGGCAGGCTCACACTTCCGACCATATGACAAACTGTCTACTAAACGTCTTACTTCCGCATCTTTTTTGGTGGCTTGTCCTAATTCCTTGACGGTGATTGGCAAATTCTCAATTAATTCCATTTCAATTTGATCAATCTCGCTGATTGTTTTGCTGCATTCATTTACAGGAAGCCTCGATAGCGCATCTGCATTCCCATTCTCCTTAGATTTACGCAAACGAATCTTGTAATCAAAAGATTCCAGGAATACTGCGTAATGTTGCATACGCGTTGCAGACAATACCGGTAATCCCTTGTCAGGCGCAAAAATCTGTGATATTGCTTTATTGTCGGTAATTAAAGTAAATTCCCTTCCATATACATATTGGAAAAACTTTTTTACCCCGAATATTACTGCGTATGCCTCCTTGTCTACTTGGCTATACCGTCTCTGTGTTGCATTTAAAGTTTGCGATGCAAACTGTATAGGTCTTTCCGTTCCATCGCCAAATTCGTGACTCAATACGGATCCCACACCCGTAGGGCTCGCATCCACTGCCAATGTTAATTTTTTTCTTGGATCATAATGTGTCAGCACCACCTCTGATCCCACTTGTCTCTTTACTTCTTCGAAAGCCCATTTACATTTAGCATCAAAATTAAATGGAACTTCTTTGTGCAGTAATCGATTTAGAGGGTAAACTATAGAGCTCAAATTTTTTATAAAACGACCATAATAATTCACTAGTCCCAAAAATGATCGAACTTCGTCCTTGGTTGCCGGATATCTCATTTCTTGAATAGCCTTAATCTTGGCTGGTATCTTACGAATTCCTTGTCGATCAATCACATAACCACAATACTCAATACTCTCTCGCAGAAATTCCGACTTAGCAAGATTTATTCGCATATTGTATCGGTCTAATCTTTTTAACACCTCTTCTAACCGGTCTAAGTGTGTCCTATCATCCTTGGCTGTTATTTTAATGTCATCCAGGAACACCTTAACACCCGGTATATCCGCTAATAACTGCTCCATTAATCTTTGCCACTGAGACGGGGCGCTAGCAACGCCAAACATTAATCTTGTTGGTTGAAATAATCCTTTGTGTGTGCTCAGGGTTAAGAACTTTTGGTCATCTGGATGTACTTCTAACTGCAGATATGCCTTGGACAAGTCAATCTTCGAATATTTTTCACCGCCTGCCATTGTACTAAACAATTCGTCGACTGTAGGCAATGGGTGCTTGTCCACCACTAAGACCGGATTGATCGTTATCTTGTAGTCTCCACAAATTCGTATCTTGTCATCTTTCTTTCTGACCACCACGATTGGTGTAGCCCACTCGCTACGTTCCACTTTTTCCAATAATCCAGCTTTTACTTGGTCATCTAATTCATCTTCCACTCTCTGCAACAGTGGAAAAGGTACTCGTCGCGCCTTCATACATTTCGGGACAGCATCGGTTTTAATATTCAAACGCGCCTGAAACCCCCTAATTTTGCCCACTGACTTCGAAAATAAATTTGGATATTTCTCCAAGATACTCCTTAACTGACCTTCCAAATTCGCCGACTCCTGAATTTTGTTTACGCTTACCGATGACACACTCTTTCCTTTTAACATCTTCAGCCAGTCCAATTTAACTAACCGCAGCCACTCTCTTCCCAGCAATGGTTTCCGATTGGCCCGTACTAAATACATTTTGACTTTTGTTATGTCTTTAGCTCTTACTTTCACCCATATGTATCCCGCGCAATCTATAGGCGTCTTGCAATAACTATAGAGTTCCAAATCTGGTTCATGAATTCGTATTTTCTTCGAAAAATATTTGTAAGCATCGGCAAGACTTATGATGGTGACCGGCGCTCCCGTGTCAACTTCAAATGTGATATTACGATCATTTACTTCCAATGTACATGGAATTTTATCCCGTATGCTGGAGCTCTGTCCATTACTTTCCATCTTACACACTTCTTGCTCTGAGTCCTCCTTTCCACTGACTTCGCCGTCAGATATTTGTTTCATTGTAGATCTTGCTTTAAAACACACACGCCTTAAGTGGCCTCTCTTT